CCGGAGTACAGTCGGAGTACGCGGAGAACTTGCGACAAAAACAGCCGGAGTACACGGAGTACAATCGGAGAACACCTGGAGTACATTTTGGCCTGTACACACACAGGAGCCGCCCAGTCGTCCACCCCTCGCGCCCGCGTGTGTGACCCGCGACCCCCGTGCCTCCCGGCCCGGCCCCGGTGCCCCGGCGCGTCGTTGTCGCCTACCTGGCGCTCTCGACCTTATGGGTCAGACCCACGGTGCGGTCGGAAACCTGGACCAAGTAGTGGAGGGGGTAGAATGGGCAGCCTCGGGACGATCGGTGGACCCCGGGTCTAGGGTCTGCACCTGCTGTGCAGGTCCTGCACTGCGCGTCGACGCTGCAACGCTCCACCTCCCTCCACTGCAGTCTGCAGTGTGAGTGTGCGAGTCACACAGGTAGGACGCATCCGTAGTGTTCAGACCGAGCGGTGATCGGCGAGTTTCGATTCGTCAGCGTACTGGCGTACTGTGTGTCCTCGCCAGATTGACTTCGGTTGACCGTGTTCAAGTGGTAAGGAAGTTACTTACAGCTTATAGCTTGTGCCCGTTCTAGTTTCTAAAATCCGTATTGAGATTTATTTTTCAAATGACTTCGTTGATTGTACAAAAAGTATAGATATATATAAAAAGAGGAGAAGCGTTATCGATTTGGGAAAATTTGTGCACACTAAAAGTAAATAGTTTAAAAAAAAAAACAACTATGAGTAAAAGTAACAATATCAACTAATTGTTTTCTGCATCTTTTCACTTGCAGGTAGAACGTTGTTTATCTCCTGCAATACCACAATGCCGTACCCGTGTGGCCTGTGCAACAAAGAGTTTCGCATTAAAACTAACTACACCAACCACATGAGAATCCACACGGGAGAGAAACCATTCGAGTGCACAATCTGCAAAAAGAAATTTACACAAAGCACCACCTTGACCAAACATCTCCGGACTCACACTGGAGAGAGGCCCTTTGAGTGTGAAATCTGCAAGAAGAAATTTGCAACAAGTTACGACATGCGTCTACATCTCCGGATCCACACAGGAGAAAAGCCCTTCAGCTGTACAATCTGCAATAAGAAATTTTCACAAAAGGTCAACTTGCACGTACATTTCCGGAATCATACAGGAGAGAAGCCCTACGAGTGTACAGTGTGCAAAAAGAAATTTGTTCAGCAGAGCAACCTTACCACACATCTCCGTACCCACTTAGGAGAGAGGTCCTTTAAATGCATACTGTGTAACAAGGCATGTGCTACTAGTACCCACTTGCGCATCCACCTGCGGACCCACACAGGAGAGAAGCCTTTTCAGTGTGATATCTGCAACAACAAATTTTCAACTAGCAGCTGTTTACGCAAACACCTCCGCATCCACACAGGAGAGAGGCCCTTCAACTGTGCAATCTGCAACAAAAAATTTGTTGATAAAGGTGGATTGAGCAAACATCTCCGTACCCACACAGGAGAGAGGCCCCACAAATGTACAGTCTGCAATAAGCAATGTTTTACCAGGCGTAATTTGGTCGTACATTTCCGGACCCATACAGGAGAGAAGCCATACGAGTGCACAATCTGCCACAAGAAATTTGCGTATAGCAACAGTCTGCGTCTACATCTCCGGGCCCACACAGGAGAAGCCCCCTTTAAGTGCACAATCTGCAACAAGTCATTTACAAGAAGCAGCGCATTGCGTCGCCATCTCTCGACCCATACAGGAGAATCACCTTTTGAGTGCACAACTTGCAACAAGAAATTTAAAACAACTGCTAGTCTGCGGGTTCATCTCCGGGGCCACACTGGAGTGAGGCCCTCTGAGTGTACAATGTGCCACAAGAAATTTTTGCATACCAGCAGTCTGCGTGCACATCTCTTGGCCCACACACAAGAAATACCCTTTAAGTGCACAATCTGTACCAAGAAATTTAGATCAAGGGGTACTTTGCTCGTACATCTCTACGCCCACTTAGGTAGGAGGCCCTTAAATGAGGTATTGTTTTAAAACTAAAGTCTCGATTTAGCCCTTAAGTTTGTCTATACGTAAAATCTGAGTCGACTCTGAGTCTATCCTGGATCGGTGCAAAAAAATTTAACCCCTTGGGACCTCACAGCAAGCGAATTTAAGAAACGTCGCCTGCTGGTTTGTTATGTTCCGTGGCGGCCATCTTGGGGATTCTTCATTTCTTCTAACCGCTGGAATACCTCATTTGAGTGTACAATCTATCATAAGAAATTTGTACGAAGGTGGCAGGTGGCACTTGAACAAACATCTTCAGACCCACACGTGAGGGACGCCCTTTGATTGTACAGTTTCAATTTGCAACAAGAATTTAAAGCAAGTAGCTATTAACACATCTATCTCCTGGCCCAATCTGCAGCAAGAAATTTTTGCATATAATAGTTGCATGCATCTAAGCGCCCCACCCAAAAAGGGGGTGGGGGATAGGGGCACTCGTGTAATTCTTGTATTTTTGCCTTGTATTTGGATGTGTTTCCGTGTATTTCTATGCATTGTAAAGTGTATTTTTGTTTCTGTTTTTTTGGATTTCTGTTGAGCACGGTTTTTCCGAGTTGACACCTTTTCTTCTTTTCCTTCGCGCCCTAAATTATCGTATAAACTTATCGACAATCGTATAAACCAGGAAACAATTGAACGGTGGTCATCAGTGTGGCATCTCTTGAAAACTCACATCAGATCGTGAATGTTGGTTGATAAACGAGTTTTTTTTTTTTTTTTTTTTTTTTTTTTTTTTTTTTTTAATACTGTAGTATATTATTCAAATGATTAAATATTTTTCATCTCCAAAGTTTTTGAACTCTGTTGTTTTTTTGTTTAATACACCTATAAAACTAAGGTAAACTAAGGTATAAAACTAAGGGTTTGTGTTGAGTACACTGTATTTGATCACGGATTAATGAATAATGAACACTCGCTCGGCCCCGGGGGACGGGGTTGTGTTCAGGGGAACTTCAGGCGTACATCAATCTCGTTTTTAGCCGATGATACCTCACACTAAGACTAAATATAAGTAATTGATTGATTTTCCTTGATTTTTTGATTTGATCTTTTTCCACTTTATTTTTTTGATTGTTTTTATAAAAATATTTTCTGACTTTCTGAAATTTTGTTGTGATTGGTTTCTGGCACACTGCACTCTGATTTATTTTTTTCGTGGAAAACCCCTCATTTCAGGGTAGTGGACCGACACCGATCGGCCCGGTTGACGGTTGACGCCTGCCTGTTGATCCGCCCAACGACCATTGTAGGCTTCGCCACCCCCGTCTCTCCCGCCCGGCCGCGGGGCCCCGGGGTCCCGGCGCATCGCTGTCGCCTACCTGGTGCCCTCGACCTTACGGGTCAGACCCACGGTGCGGTCGAAAACCTGGGCCAAGTACGGTAGTGGAGGGGGTAGAAAGGGGCAGCCCCGGGGCGATCGGTGGACCCCGGGTCTCGGGTCTGCACCTGCACTGCACGTCGACGCTGCAACGCTTCACCTCCAGTGCTGCAGTCTGCAGTGTGAGTGTGCGGGTCGCACAGGTAGGACGCATCCGTTGTGTTCAGACCGAGCGGTGATCGGCGAGTTTCCATTTGGAGGGCAGACACACGTTTCCTACTGGTAAAGAGTCTTTGGAACTGTCTAAAAATAACCATTAGTGTTCAGCAAAAGTAACAATAACGACTAATTGTTTTCTGTATTTTTCGCTTTTAGGGAGAAACGTTTATCGCCTGTTGGAATTCTACCACCATGCCATTCCCATGTGACCTGTGCAACAAGACGTTTCCGGCTAAATGCAGATACGACAATCACATGAGAACCCACACTGGAGAGAAACCATTCGAGTGTACAATCTGCAACAAGAAATTTGCACTAAGCGCCACCTTGAGCAAACATCTCCGGACTCACACTGGAGAGAGGCCTTTTGAGTGTAAAATCTGCAAGAAGAAATTTGCAGGCTCACTGAGTCTTCACCTCCGAACCCACACAGGTGAAAAGCCCTTCGACTGTACAATCTGCGAGAAGAAATTTTCACAAGAGATCAACTTGCGCGTACATATCCGGAAGCATACAGGGGAGAGGCCCTACGAGTGTACTATATGCAAGAAGAAACTTGTTACAAAGGATGCCTTGACCGTACATCTCCGTAGGCACTCAGGAGAGAGGCCCTTTGATTGCTCAGTGTGTAACAAGGCATTTGCTTCTAATTCCGACTTGCGTGTTCACCTGCGAACCCACACAGGGGAGAAGCCTTTTCAGTGTGACATCTGCAACAAGAAATTTACAACAAGCAGCCATTTACGCGGGCACCTCCATATGCACACAGGAGAAACTCCCTTCGAGTGTGCAATCTGCAACAAAAAATTTGCAGAGAAACGTGGATTGAGCGGTCATCTCCGTACACACACAAGAGAGAGGCCCTACAAATGTACAGTCTGCAATAAGCAATGTTCATCAAAGAGCAATTTGGTCGTACATTTACGGACCCATACCGGAGAGAAGCCATATGAGTGCACAATCTGCAACAAGAAATTTGGACATAGCAACAGTCTGCGTCAACATCTCCGGGGCCACACAGGAGAAACCCCATATGAATGCACAATCTGCAACAAGAAATTTAAAGGAAGTAACAGTCTGCGTTATCATCTCTCGTCGAACCATACAGGAGAAACACATGAGTGCACAACCTGCAGCATGAAATTTAAGACGTCTGCTGGTCTGCGGGTTCATCTCCGGCGCCATACTGGATTGAGGCCCTATGAGTGTACAATCTGCCACAGGAAATACACTCAACAGAGCTCTCTGGACGTACATCTCCAGGGCCACTCTGCGGAGACACCATTTAAGTGCACAATCTGCACTAAGGAATTTAGATGGATTGGGAGTTTGCGCTCACATCTCCAGAGCCATATAGGAGAGAAGAAATTTGAGTGTACAATCTGTCCCAAGAAATATGTACAAAAGTCAGCCTTGAACGTACATCTTCGCCGGGCCCACACATGAGAGACGCCCTTCCTTTGTACATACAATACACATACAATCTGCGGCGCGACAGTGCCCTTACAAAACGCCCTTTAAATGCACAATTTGCAACAAGAAATTTAAAGCAAGTACCTATTTACACATCTCCTGGGGCCCTTATACAGCAGAGCGGGAGGTGGTCGCTAGCGGGCAAGGGCCCCAGGTAGAAGGGTCAGGATTGTCGCTAGCGGGCATCGGAGGGAAAAGAGGGGATTGTGCGGGAGAAAAGGGAAATTGTCGCTAGCGGGCAGCGCGGCGGGTTGCCTACCTCCACGGCGCCGGGCCGCAACGAAACGACCTGTGTCGGCTAGGTCTCGGACGACTTCAGGTCCTCATGCCAAAGCGTTGCAAGGAGCGATAGCGGAGTGCAACGCTTCACTGACAAGTGTATTTGCTTATTCCCTGTATTGAATTAGGTTTGTTAGTAATGGTTTGCTTCATTTCATTTTTTGATACCACAGTTGTAATACATTAGACGTTTCTTTATAAAACATCTATAGAACACCAGTCTTACTCAGAAAAAGAAAAACAGCGGAGTGCAACGCTGCATTGACAGTACCATT